AGAAACTGTGCCTCAATTCCTGATTTAATTAGTTAAATATTTAACAGAACACAACTAACTAGACTGAGAATTTAACCAAACATTTGTTTTTGATACTTGGTGTTACGGACACAATTTGGGCAGGATTCAAAAGTATTTAGGTTCAATATATAATCAGATAATTGGTTTGCTTTATTAGAGGAGTACCCAACAATTAGTATTGCGTTTCTTGGCTTCAAAGTGATATTAAAAAAAGTCAAAATTGATGTCTCTCACTGCTTGTTTAATGCCAATACTCTAAGTTTATAACTAAAACTATGAAGTTTCCTGTCAATTTTTTTGTCTCAAGTAATACTCCTCATGATGACATTGATGTGTAAAATTGGTAGTTCCCTTTTTAAAATCATTTATATAGAACCTAAGATGACAGTTAATGGTGAGTAAATCAAAGTTCACCATGAATTTTTATTCTTTGTCACATTACAGACTGATGATAAGGGAGTCTTCTGCACAGACTTGTCTAAAGAATATCAGCTGGCAGCTTCCACGTTTGGTCTCAGTCGTGAAGCTGTATGGAAGCTCTCCCAGCAGGCCATAGACTGTATCTTCGCACCAGACACTGTGAAACAGCAGCTCCGGCAGAAGTGGGTTGATCTACAGCCTCAGGTGTTCAAGTGACCTGTTCAGTGGAACTTAAAACCAATATACCTCACATTTCAGTTTTAAAAACATCTCTGTTAACCTTTTTACAAGTCTTTGTAGAAATCATGACCTCAACTAAAAAGGGAACTCTTAAAAAATACTGTGAAAATGTTTGAAATACTCAATAGTAAAGGAATACCCATTTAGTACGAGTAAGTGTGTTATTTTCTGCTGATATACACTATCTGTGCGGTGTTGCACTTAACATGACTCAAAGCAACAAACTTGTAATGACAATGTAGAAACATCGGTATAATTGGGTAGCAGAATAATAAAAAAAAAAGTCTAAACAGTCTTTTGGGCGCTCTTCAGTATCTACAAGTCTGTCCGAGATATCCAAAGTTCAGTAGATGATGTTGATGCTGCTGCCCACACACACTGTCCTGTCCATGCGCCGCAGTTTACGGTCACACCTTCTTTCCAAATTTGCCATGTTTGTCCTTGTTCTTCTTGAATTTGCCCTGTTGCATTTCCTTCTTCTTTAGTTTCCCGTGCTGGGAAGCCCCATTACTTGCTACGGCGTTCCCCCCATCCAACTTCCTCTTCTTGTCACTGTTGAAAGTAAGACATGGTTACAAACATGTTTCCACGACAACCAAACACCATTGTCAAAGATCCTGGATGTCACTGCACCTTTTGATGCTGACAATCGCTGTGTTCCCTGCTTTCTTCAACACCTGGTCCCATTCCTCATCATGTCCACGGATCTTGTACCTGTAAATACAAAAAGGAAATCATCGTATCATTTTTACATTTTTTTAATTCCAAAATGCTACACACAAATAATGACCCAGCCCAGCCCGCCCCCAACCCAACCTCATACTCACTCATCCAGGTCCATTTCTTTCACTTTCTCTACGTCCTGCTTGTGTTTCTCCTCAAACTCCTTTGCTGCTTCATTCTGTAAGTAACAGATTCATTTTTAAACTTTTTTTCCTCAAACTAATTCAATTTCAATCTAATTTTATAAAAAGGAGTACCGGTCTAGACTTGCTCTATTTGAAAAGTATCCTGAGATAACGCGTTATGATTTGGCGCTATACAAATAAAATGTAATAAGTTGAAGGAATACAACTAACAAATTTGTTCATTAATGATTAATGTGTTGATTGTTATTGCACTCCAATTGTTAACGCCCATTAACGTCCCCAGGGACCAAGGGGACATCCTCAGATTCTTTTTTGTACTGAAACAACTCAAAATCCAAAAATATTTAATGTACAATGATAAAAGAACAGCAAAAAATCCTCAAGAGAAGCTGAAGCCAGCAAATGTTTTGCATTTTTTCCGATAGATCAATCGTTAACCACATACCAGATCATCATTAAGGCTTCTGACAGTCGGCTCCATGGAAACGTCTTTAGTGTCCACCATCTCTGCCTCAATAGCTTTTTCTTGGATGTTGGTGAAGACCTAGGATAGTAAAGGCCAGAACAATCGGAAGTATTAATGTTGTTGCAGTAGAATAGTAATAGCTTTAAAAGGTAGGGTTTGTGGCATCTTCTTCATGTCATGTCTTTCAGTGGGTTATGACTTACTTGAACAAATTTCCGGATCAGACGGTTGAAGAGGCCCATGAGCTGCGAGCTTGGAAGCTCAATTTCCTTTTCTAGCTGTTCCACTGACTTGTGCTGTAACCCGACACCCAGCAGTAACGCCTAGAAAGAACATGGACAGTCAACATTTATACCAATAAAACTGAATTAACAGCAAGAAACAGCTGAGATCGCAACCGACGGGGAAACGTACACACTGCGCAGCTGAGAGGGAGACGTTGCCGAGCTGCTTGAGGAAGAAGATGCGTGCCACTGTCGGGATCAGGTCCATGATGAGGTGGTAGTCTACCATGCTCCTCGAATACAACTCCAGACGTTTGAGGTCGTAAGGGCTGAAGAGGGCTGCCAGCTCAGAGCTACTGAGAGCTGTGGAGGTCAAAGACAAGTCAGATCAGGTCTGTGAGACGCAGAGGAAATCTGACTATGTTAGTTAGCAGGAGAGTCTTACTGCTCGTCTCCTCCTTGGACTTCTTATTCTGCAGGATGCTGAGTGCCAGGCTCGGGTGGAAGCTGCCAAACTGGTAGGAGAGGAGAGACAGGAAGCGCCGGCGGAAATCTGAGAAAAACAAAAAACTGTTATTAAAAAAAATTTAATAAACAAACCAACCAGATCTCCAGAGTTCAGGAAAAGTTGTGGAAGTTTCACCTTTCCAGAAGGCAGACAGCCACTGGCTCTGCTCTGGGGCTTCATCTGTATTCAGCTCCTTCAGCATCACACAAGAGTGCTCTCCTGTCAGGTCATTCTAAAAACAACCACACAGACACACCAACAATTACAGCATGTGACAACCGCACAATGTACACAAACTTACAAAAAAGGTTGAATTTATTTTATACTTACAGGGGTTTGTCTTAAGTAGACTGGAGTATAACCTGCTTTCTTCCAGAACCTGTCAGGTTGCAAAAATACTTTTTAATATGTGCAAAAATATGACATCCTGCTTCCCCTTCTTCCTTTTCAAGGAAACTCACTTGAGCAGCTGTGCAGTAAGGCCATAGGAAACTCCTAGATAGTCCAGTCTCTCTGCTCTCCTCTCACTGAGCTTCAGCAGCAGAGGCGGGAGCTCCTTCCGTGGAGTGATCACCTCCTCCAGCAGGCTGACAGCCTGGATAACAAGAGACAGTGTGTGTGTTTAATCTGCCTAATATAATCTCTAAATTGCATTTTTACTCTAGTTACACAGGAATTTATGTCTTTCAAATACAGCTGAGTAAATTTTCTGTCTTTAATTGTATTACCTCACTGCTGACAGAGGTGATCTCATTGTGATTTGAGCGCGTGCTCTCATCCATGGTGGGAAACTTGCCCTCATAGTACATCTGCAACAGCTGGAGAGCTCTGGAGCCGTAGCCCATCTGATGGACAGGTTGGAAACCAGTTACACACAGTGCATCACGATTAATTAAAAAAACAGACTGAGGCCTTTGCGAGTTCTCACCCCTTGGTAGTCTGGATTGACAGCTATTCGCACCACTCTGCCTCCAGAAAGGCTGCCAAACTCTGGGTCTTGGAACTAGATAGAACAGAGGAGAGGATTCATGTTTGCACTGTGAAAACGTGAGCTGTAAGGATTTCACCCAAAAGCTTTTTGATCAGTGTGTACCTGTTCTGACACCGTCCAGGGAATGAGGTCACCAGAGGCTTTCTTTCCCCTGGACAGACTGTTTAGGATGGACTGCCGAGATATTTCTCCCTCCAGACACACCTGAGGGGACAAAGAGGAATACATTTACATAATGAAGAACAAATACCGTAAGTCAAGTCAATAAACCTGGACAGAAAAAAAGCATACAAGGAGGCTACAACAAACTGTTGGGCAGTAAATAAAGGAATGGCTGATTTGGTGGAAGTTGGTACTGATTTGCAAAAAGCCTCTTACCACAGCCCTTTGCTTTGCGTGCATGGAGCGACTATCACTCTCATGCTCAATTAAAACACAGAATCTAATATCTCGTCTTACCTGCACCACTGCGAGGACCTCAGGTAGTGAGTTCTGTGTGGGAGGAACAGGAGGCAACAGGCAGAAGAGGTGATGGGCCGGAGCATCGGACAACATCTGCAGGTCGTTTGGTGAATTCTGGATCCAAAAGAAAACATTGAGTGAGCAAATAAATGCAACAATGACACAATGCTCTGTGTAGGATATTATACTCCTTGAGGTATGTCAATACAAACTAATATCACCTTGTAATGTGATGCCACGTAGAGGGCCATCAACCTCTGCAGGAAGGCCTCAGAGGCCTTGTGGTAACAGAACAGTGTGTCTCTGTTCACATAATATCTGGACAGCGGAGGCTGAGGAAAAACGGTCTGCAGGTGTGTGCCAGACAAATACTTTTGGGGTTTTTATAAATCTCTGAAGTACTGTTTCCTTTTTAATCAAACTGGTTTTGGATCTCTGGTTTTGAGTCGATGTAGCCGCACTGCTATGTTTTTTAAATACCAAGTGGTTACCATTAACCAACAGGTGATAATGAATTAATTATTTAAGTTGGCTTTTGAGCAAAATCTCAAACCATTCACATTACCATTGCTTTTCTTTGTTCTTATTTGATTGATTTGCCAAAACAAGCAATCTGAAGATGTCACCATGGGAACGGTTAATCAAGAAAATAATCAGCAGGTTGATCAATTATTAAAATAATCTTTAGTTGCAGCCGTCCTCTAAATATTACCAACAAAAACACTTCCAGTTTACCAAGTACCATTGTTTACACCATCTTAATACTACACTGCTTATATGACATACTGTAAGAACATAACTAATTTAAAGTACATCAAGGATACAGGTCACAAGTCTGTGGAAGCGGGCAGCCAGAGATGAGCCTGGGAATGTTCAGACAGTCCAGACAGAGAAGATCATTCAGCCACTTTTCCACAGCGTCTCCTGGAGCGTACCGAATGGACTCGTGAAGAGTAACTTCATGGAGAGAGCGAGCTGTGCAGGGAGACCGGTAAGCAGCAGTCAGGCAGATGATCGAGACACGCTGAACAAACACAGTAAAAAAAAAAGAAAGAAAGAAGGTATTTACCTGCTGCTAGCCTCACTGTGTTGGCGGTTCTGTTCTCTGCTGACATGCTCTGCTGACTGTCCACACTCTGCTGCCTCAACTGCTGAATCAGTTTGAGGGAAAGAGAGCGCCCAGTGCCTTCATACCTGCAGAGACGAAGGAAAACGAGGGTCAGAAATGCAAATCACTAGAGCTGAAATGACAAAGTGATTGATCAATCGACAGAATAATACCTTTTCAATAACTGATTGATCACCAAAGTCATTTTTGACTTTCTTAGACTTTTTACTAAACTAAATATCTGTACAAACAATATACAAAACAAGCAATTTCAATATGTAAACTTGGGTTTTTACTAATCTCTGACCATTTTTACAGACTAATAATGAAAAGAATTGTTTAAAGAATATTCATTATTGCTTCTACTTAACTGGTCGAATCTGTATCATTAAAAATACATTCTGAACATTCCCTTGTGTGTGACGTTATTCACACAAATGTAACATGGTATTACATTACATACATACATACAGATTACGTAAATATCATCCAGCCCCATTACTGACCCGTTGATGGTG